GGCATATAAATGGTTTTCCTCTTACCTTGGAGAAAGAAAACAATATGTCTCAATCGAAACCTATGAATCAGAAAGGCTCCAGATTAACTTCGGAGTCCCACAAGGCTCCATATAAGGACCAATACTTTTTACCTTATTTATAAATGATCTATGCCACATAACTACATCAGCTAAATTTTTATTATTTGCTGATGACACGACTATATACTTTCATACTAAAGAACCTAACAAAGATTTAAATTTTATCAACAATGAAATTCAATCCATCGCCAATTGGTTTACCTTTAATGATTTAATAATAAACTATACAAAGTGCACATATATGATATTTGGACCAAGAATACTAACCAATTGTATCACAGACTTAAATATACAAATCAATGGTAATCCCATACATCGATCGAGCTCAACAAAATTTTTAGGTATCTTCATCAACGATAACTTATCCTGGGACACGCACATTAATTTTATTTCCAAAAAAATAAATAAAACAATAGGTATATTATATAAAATTAAAAATAAAATAACAAAAAGTGTATTATTAGAATTATATTATACCCTTATTTACCCAAACCTAACGTATTGTAATTTGCTGGGGGAAACAGTCCAAATTTACACTTGCAACATATTTCCGTTAGCCAAAACCGTTTCATTCGTCTCTTTTTCAATCTTCATCCTCGCTGCCATATTTCTAATTATTACAATATTTTACAAATTATGAATGTTAAAAATATCCACTTGTATACCTTAGCTCTTTTTATGTATAAATATGTACACTGTGAACTCCCGTTGTTTTTTAAACATTTCTTCAACTTAAGAAGCTCGATCCAAACTAAAGTATTAAGGAATGCATCAACTTTTTATCCCAGTTATTCTAGATTGAAAATAATAAATAATAGCTTAAAAATTTCTGGTCCAAAAGTTTGGGATGAAATTATTAACACAGAAATTAAAAATATATGTCAAAAACATTTATTTAAAAACAAAGTCAAAAAATTTTTGATTGAGCAAAATACTTTTTTTTTAACTTGATATCAAAAAGGCAATCATATTTTGTATGTATGTGTGTGTGCGTGGGTGAGTGTGTGTGTCAGGTGTGTGTTGGGTGTGTTTGTGTTTGTATGTATCATAGTCACCTTTTCTTGAACAACATTTATTTACATTTATTATTTACTAGAACAAGAATTTCTTATCATTTGGCCAACTTATCATGTGTATACGGTTTTCATATGTTTCCATAAATGATATTTTTAATACGTAATTGTAGTAAATATACTTCATATTTAAATCATTATGAATTTTTATAGGTATGTATGTATCTGTGTATTCGGGCAGCGTGTTTTAGGAATATGAATTATGTTGGGCTTGGTTGGGTCTGCCGGGTCGTTAACAATCTGTGAGATTCGATCAAGTTCGACGAAATATGTATGTGTGTGTGTGTGTGTGTGTCTGAGGGTGGGTATAGGTGCGTGAGTGCGTGTGTGTGTGTGTGTTTGTGTGTGAGCGGGAGTGTTTGCGTGAGAGTGTGTGTGGGTAAGTGTGCGTGAGTTTGTTTGGGTGAGTGTGCGTGTTTATGTGTGTGTGAGTGTGTCTATGTGTGTGAGTGTGTGCATGTGTATGTGTAGATATGTGTATATATGTATATAAATATTGTATTCTAGGAGCGTTAACCAGGGTACAGCGGGGATGTATGTGGAGGGGCACATTCACTAGGCTGTTCCCTGAGACATGTGGCCACGCCCTATATGTGTATGGTGTGTGGCCATATTTATTTATGTGTCTATTTATTTGAGTGTGTAAGTGAGCGTATGTTTGGTTTCCAGATCATTTCATTTCATCGATTCTGTTTCTTCAGTTCTGTATAACAGTATTGTGATATGAATTGTAGTATGGTGCGTGTTTGTAAGTATGTGTGAGCGTGAGTTTATGTGTATGTATTTCATGACATTTCTGTTACATCTATAGTTAGAAATTTTAGTTAAGGGTGGCCTATCCACAAGTTTATCTTTTTTGGTCATCCTTCAAATCAAATAAAAATAAATAAAAAAAAAAAAAAAAAAAAAATATTTCCACCCATATACAAAGTAGATTTCAAAGGCAAGGATAATAAAAGAAAGTATTTAGTAACGTAACATTCCAACAAACATTCTATCATTAATAGAAAGGGAAAACACATAAAAAAATTTAATTAAAAAGTGAATGAATTTTTTTGATTAATTTTTTACGTTTTTCCACTTCCTACAATGATCGAATGTTTGTTGGAATGTTCCTAAATACTTTTTTATTATCCTTGCCATCAAAGGATGAAATTTTTTATTTATGGGGCAAAATTTTTTCATTTCTTCAACAGTTTTTCTTGATAAAAAAATTTTTTTCCTAGTCGTTTCCAAATCGAGAGAAAAAACTGATGAAACATACAAACCACACATAAACAAACACACAGACAAAATACACACTACCACACATAAAAATAACACACACACAAATACACATAAACCAACCCGCAGACAAAAGCACACATAACAAACACACAGACAAACGCGCGCACACACGATCACAGGCAAAGACACGCACACAAACAAACACACACACACACACATACATGCACCATAAGGAGCTTCTTGCTTCATTTGTAATTTAGTTACAACTGTACAGTTTTACTGATGGCAATATTGCGAAGATATTTCTTATCATAATGATGTTGCTATAGCATTTTATCATCAAATTCATCTTCAACATAATCAATGAAAGTCCTTCGATGTGTTAGCGTATGCATGTGAGTGTTTATTGTATATGTGTGTGCATGTGTATGTGTATTTGTGTTTTGTATTTGTGAGTATATGTGTGCATGTGCATGAGTTTTTGTGTGTCTGTGTAAATTCAAATCTTATTTAAATGTTTAAAAGCAATTTGAATCAAAGGGAGAGTAGAAAATTGACATAATTCAGATTCAGCAAATATTTTAAATCAGCAAGAAGATGGATAGAGATGGATGCAATACAAATATACAATTGATACATGACAAACATGCAGGACACATCAATGCTACATCCAAACTCACAAACGAACAAGCACGAATAAAACACATTCATGCATCGGAATGATATCAACATCAAATAATCATACATACATACATACATACTTACATACATACATACATACATACATACATACATACATACATACATACATACATACATACATACATACATACATACATACATACATACATACATACATACATACATACATACATACATACATACATACATACATACATACATACATACATACATACATACATACATACATACATACATACATACATACATACGACTTTTCCGCCGCTCGTTTGTTGGCCATGTCCAGCGTTGCCAGCTGTGGGTGGTTGAGATCGTGGCCTAACACCTCTGTGGGCACCAGGCTTGACGACGAGTCTGTGAGATTTGCCATTGGCTTCAGACTTGGCCTGGTCATTCAGAATAAATACACGTGCCGATGTGGCGCTGGGGCGGACGAGTTTGGGCACCACGGTTAGGTTTGTCGCCTGGGTGGGGGCCGTCAACTACGTCACTCAGCGCTAAACGATTACATTTGTCGGCTCTTCTCCAAGGCTTCAATCCCGGTTCTCAAGGAACCATCCGTCATTTCTGCGCATGATGGTAGACGCCCGGACGGATGCACGCTAATACCTTGGAGAGCCGGCAGATGTTTGGCGTGGGATGTTACGGTCCCTGGCACCCTCGCCGAACGATACGTAAACCTGACAAGTAAAGAATGCGGTTTGGCAGCGACCAGGGCAGCGGACGAGAAAATGAAAAAATATGGGAACGCCCTCCCCTCGATGGAATTCTTGCCAATATGCATCGAGGTTCTTGGCCCGATGGACCCCAACACCCTTAAATTTCTTAAGGAAATATGCAAAATGATCAGCGTCAGATCAGGCGACAGCAGGGAACTGTTTTTCGCAACTAACCACATTTCGTGCTTGTTGCAGCGTGTGCTTGAAAATATCCAACTGAATGCCGACATGTGCAATTAACGACAAATCAAAGTGTTAATCCATTTGTTACTTGATGTTTGACGGTTCAGTGTCACTCATCATGTTTTGGTTTTAACATACATACATACATACATATAAACAAACAAGCAAACACATACATACGTACGTACATACATACACAAAAACAATCATCACCACGACAAAAGTTCAAGTTATGCAGTTCAGTAGCTAGCATCTCATGTTTCCACATATTTAAGAAAGCACCAAGATCTCAAGCCCGCCGTTTAATTATTTTCTGACATCAATTGATTTAAAGTTGTATCGTTGCAGCTATGTATCTCTGGTACTTTTTGTATTTTATTGTGTTTTATTTTGTGATAATGTGTTACATTATTTTGTGTTGTATTATGCTTTATCAAATTGTATTGTTATTTTCATAAATGCTGTTCAATCCTTAATCCATTAATTAATTATTTTTTAAATTAATTAATTCATTCCTTTATTTATTCATTTTTGGCCCCTCCCGTGAAAATTTTGGCCCCCTGTAAAAATTTTGGCTCCCTCCCGAGATAATTTTGCCCACTGTAAAAATGTTGGCCACCTCCAGTTAAAATTTTGGCTCCCCTTAAAAATCTTGTACCTTCCCATGAAAATTTTGGTTCCCCGTAAAAATTTAAATATTTTAAAAATTGTGGCTTTCCCGGTCGAAATTGTCTAGGTCCTGTCAGCCACTGCACACATCCACATTCATCAATTGAGTTGTTTAATTATTTCCACAATCAGAATGATGCTGAATATAAATGTGTCCTCAATCACTTTTATTCTGGTCGTTATCTCGTTTTTCTCATTTTTGTTGATGATGTTGATGTGTTTAATGTTGTCGTTGTTGTTGATAATGTTTTTGGTAACGTTACTGTTGTTGTAGATGAGGTTGTAGATGTTGTGGATGCATTTGTTGTTATTATTATTGCTATTGTGTTATTATTGTTATATTTGTTATTGTTGACATTATTGTTGTTAGTATTGTTTTCGTTGTTGACGTGATTGTTTCCTGTTAGAGGTTAGTTGGGTCTAATTGGAATGAGAAAGAAGGTAAGTAGGTAAGTGGAGTTGTTAGCACTGGAATTATTACTAATTAAAAATTATACATGGAACATCATTTCTCATTCATATATCTTTTTTCTATAAACAAACAAACAAACAAACAGACAAACAAACAAACAAACAAACCGACAAACAAACAAACAAATACATGAATAAATATTATGAATGAAAGAATACATAAATTAATGAATGGATATATATATAAATATATAAATTAATGAATAAATAAATAATATAAAATAAATAAATTATGTGTGCATATATATGTGTGTGTGTCGTTGTGTGTGTCTTTGTGTATGTGTGTATGTGTGAGAGAGAGAGAGAGAGAATATGTGTGCTTGTGTATGTTTTTGTATGTGTAGATTTGATTAAATAATATTGAGTTAAAAAGATTGGGACCATCCAAGCACCAAGCAACACACAGCACAACTACCACTACCATACCTCTCCACAACTACCACTACCACAGCAAAACTACAACTAACACACTTCTCTACAACATTCGATCGTCAGTCACCAGTGGCGGATCTAGACAACTATGACGGGAGAGGCCGAAAATTTGAAAATTTTTACGGGGAAGGCCAAAATTTTCACGTGGGCCAAAATTTGTGGTAATGTGGCTGACGACGACTGTCAGCCATCGTCGTCAAAAAGGCACATCCCGCTCCATCGCCTCCCTCTACCTAACTCCTTCACGTAAACACACACACACAGACACACACAAACACACACACAGACACACACAAACACACACACAGACTCGGTCACCTAAATGTCTCACCACAATTAATTAAATTATAAATTATATTCTATTTTATTTAGTAATTTTAAACCATTTATATCATGTTACTTTATTTAATTTATTTTTTATTTTATTTGTTTGCTTGCATATTTTTGTTTGTCTGTTTGTTTAAAAGCTATCTCTAAACTGTGGCCAACGTAATGCCAGATTGCCATTGCAACATTATCAAATAATAAGTGTAAATATGACCAACTAAGAAGAAAATATTTCTTCCCAAACGACATTCCCAAATAAGAAGAAAATATCTCTTCCCAAACGACATTCAAGTTTAATTTCAAGACCAAAATGTCACTAAAATAAATACATCCATTCCTTTTAGAAATAGGAAACATCAAAAACATTCAGAACAGAAACTACGAAGATGAAAATAAAATATGACTATTTCAATTCATTCCATCATTATATTAAATATATATATTGATTAAAATAAATGGAACATCTTAATATACATCTTTACATCTTATATATATGTATGTATGTAAATATATATATATATATATATATATATATATATATATATATACAAAAACAGCTATACCGATATATTACCGAAACACAACAACTACTCAAATAAAGTGATCGATGATACAATCAATAAATATCTTCAAAAAGTTAATAATCCCGTCACTCTAAACTCGCAAGATATTGCAACAAAAACAGCCATACCAATATATTACCGAAACCAAATGCCCGACAACTACAAAGTAGATGAGTCACAAATTAAACGAGTCCTTCGATCAAATATTTCTGTCCGCAATAACAACAATCGGCTAAAACCTATCCTCTGTGATCTAAAACCTATCGTCAATCGCACATCAAATCTTGTCATAAAAAACAACAATAATCCACCATTACTATGCTAGAGAGAACGAACGTCGGGTACCGCTTTACGTGTCCCGTGCCACACTGTGTTGTGGATAGTTACATCGGTCACACGCGTACTACACTCTCCCGTAGGCTCACCTCACACGTGCAGGATGGTGGTATCAAAGAGCATATGGCGAACGTACACTACACAATTCTTGCGCGAACCATACTTGATCAGAATACCACAATTCTCGATTCCGAAGCACTTCCAGGTCGGTTGAAAATCCGTGAGGCCTTATACATCAACAAATACAAGCCAACTATGAATAAACAAACTAATAGATTTGAACACACTCTCCACCTATTTTTCCAATAATGCGATTTGACGTCTACGGTCCCCGGTGGAAATGATCCGCAACGGACGAAGTTGCCGCAACGATATGAATATCGTTCAACACTGGGCGATTTCCAACCTATGAATACAAAGTTTGTGACGACTCGTCAAAGCTCCTACGTAGTCACGTCACTCAATACATTATCTAAAATTTAATATTCATTTATTCACCTCTCTTGTTTTCATATTTTCATAATTTAACAACGTATTTAACATTGCTCTATTTTACCCGTTCGCATAATACATCCCACCTTTTACACCAGTACCATCCCATCACTACCCACACATGTTTCGCTTTCAGTCTGTTTATAGTTCCAAATCGATATTTACCAATTTTATTTGTATTTTAATATTTGATTTTCTTAATTTATTTGTTTTATTTTCTTTTATATATATCTTATTTATATTCGTTATTTATATTTATATCATGTTTACATGTTATTACAAGGTAATCACTTTTACTCCAATTTCGGTTCATCGCAATTGTATTTTCTTAATTTCTATGATTTTAAATCTTTATTTCAATTTATATTCCGTTATTTCAAATTATAGACTCTGTAGATGACATCTTTGTCGAAACAACGTTGTTAGCCACACTATGATTGGAAGTTTTAATAAATATGAATTGCAACAGTTACGTGTTGTTGAATGTCTTTTCAAGAAATTAATAAACGCTAAATGGGAAAAATCATTTAATCAAATTTGCTATAATGAAAATTTCGTTCCGAAATTATATATATATATATATATATATATATATATATATATATATATCCTGTGTCTCTACAATGTTTATTCTCTGTTTGTTTAATTTGAATACTTAACGGTCATTTAATTAGTCATTACAATCTTCAACTATGTGCAATATGACAGTTTTACGTGCCATCACATTATCGATGATTCCTCTGTTTTTAAATTTATTCGTGGGAAAGATTCCAGTTGCCCGTTGTTGAATATTTATTATCGGATGTCTTTGTTCTATGAGTATTGATTCGGCTAGTCGTAAGTTATAATGGCTGTTATTGTAATATAAGATTTCAACACTGTGGTCCAGGATTTGTCCAGTAATTTGTAATTTTAGTTTCGTGTTTCTCATTCATGTGATTCTTTATAGCGCCAGTTTGTACGTGCATCGTGAGTCTTCTCGATAGCTTGGTCGTTGTCATACCAATATATTCGGAATTATGGTGCCCACACTAACTAATATTAGATTTGAACATATGATACATGTGTTTTGTGTATTGTGCGCACGCGTGTGTATGCTTGAACGTCATTATTTCGGCATGCATGTGGGTGTAGATTGCGTCATTACAAGGATTCATAAAGATAAACGCAGTAATGGGCCTCAAGTGGATTGCATGATGAACCATCCTTCGATCATTGCTTAACAGCTGAGCATCTTATCAGAGCAGAAGCAACTTATCAGTTGTGTGCATGTGCCTTTGTGTGTGCTCTAACACAAATGTATCTGTTGTTATGGGAACGGTGTTACATGCGTGTTTTTTATGTGCTCCTAATTCATTCAAGAACAATAAATACAACAAACATTTGTGAAGCATCGCGAAACAAGGTGCTCATTTCTAGATGGTGTCGGATGTTTCGTAACATTTCCAACGACACAATTTAAACAGACGAACCAATTTAACTAATGTTGTCGGTTATAAACAGGTTGGACACAACGCCACAATGGAAATTGTAAATATTAAGACAATATATCCCATCCCTGTTGACATTCGAGCTTCTCATTTACAACGTTCCGTTGACTTGAATAGGCAACAACCTGGATTCATTGATTGCTGAATCGGTTAAAAACTGGTTGGTTTTGCCAGTTAGCGGCTGCGTGTCGGAGTATCCATCACTTCCTTTTAAATCAGGAGAATTGAATATCAGATCATTGAAGAGTTGCACAGAAGCGTTAAGAG